ATGAGCTGTATGCCATAATCATCAGTATTAAAACAATTAAAGACCTGAAATATTTCAGTTGGTGTGCAATGAATCTGAAATATATGAAAGTTTAATTTTTATCATTATATTATGGAAAATAATGACCTTTATCACAATATGCTAATTTTTTGAGAAGGACCTGTATATATATATGATTGTGTTTGATTTTTTTCAGTTGTCCCATTTATTGTCCGTAATAATAATTTCTTGAATTTAATGACAACATGATTTCTTTAGTGTGTTTTTGTAAAAGATAAAATGCCATTTTCAGTTTTAATGGGATATGGAAAAGTTGCTTCAATGCTTCAATTATCTATGTCTGTTCCTTCTTCCTGTCACAAATGCTCTCATTAGCTCTGAAAAGACAACTTGCTGTTCGAAAACGGTGGCAGCTTGTCATTGTTGTTTAAAGGTGTGTGGAACAAGTTACTCAGCAGACACTGTGCATTTCATGGTGGAGTCATCAAATCCATTAAAACCATTATGCCTCAAGGACATCCAGTTTTATTCTGGACTTGGGGATAATGCCGTTTAAAATTTAAACAGTAATATTTCTGCAACAGGTAGTCGCATTTCAGTTGAATCAAGTAAAACCAAAGATGGTTTAGCCCCACAAAAAACTAAATATTGTGTTAAAGTCTTAAACTATAATTGTTTAGTTCTTCATAGTTATTAATTAAATGTAATTTAAATTTTTAAATGATTCAATTTAAATAGAATGTAAGCGCAAAACTTTTGATTTTGTAAAGTTGTATTTCCCCAAAACATAAGGTGATCATGATCCTGTTTCCTGTTATTGTTTTTCCACATTGGCCCTCGCTTCATTCCTTTTCGCCACAGTTTGGTGCCTTGCTGGTGTCCAAGCAAAGCATTTCTTGTTTGCAAAGCCACTAAATACTGATGATGAATAATTAATGCATTAAAAAGCCATAACTCAAAAAGAAACCAAACTTGTATCTATATTAAACAAACATCTTAGCCACAAACAAATTTTAAATTGCGCCTTTAGGCAATTTGTGGGAGTCCATTACAAAAAGACATTTTGTTCCCTTCTTTGTTGCATCTATAAGACCTGCAAACTGAAGGCAGGCACAAAATGTAACTTTTATTCAATTCAGTTTCAATTCAGTTCAGTTCAGTTTATTTATATAGTGCCAAGTTACAACAGAAGTCATCTCAGGGCACTGAACAAAAACATTCATTTAAATATATAAATAATAATTTAACGCTATTAATCAGAGGAGAAGACTGCTTTGAGTTTAACTTCATTTTAGACTCATCTTGAACAAGCATGAAGGCGACAGTGGAAAGGAAAAACTCCTTAATGAGGAAGAAACCTTTAGCAGAACCAGGCTCAGGACAAGCGGCCATCTGCTTCGACCGGCTGGGTTTGAGAGGAACAGATACACAATGGCAGGTCGAGAATCACGTTAAGATAGAAATAGTATCAAATGAAAACTATTAAATTTTAACATTTCATTTTAAGAAATGAGGTCAATTTGTCCTCCAGTAGTCTAAACCTATGGCAGCATGATAATCCAATCCTAACTATAGGATTTATCAAAAGGAAAGTCTTAATCCCAGATGTAAAACTGGACAATGTGTCTGTCTTACAGACAGAAACTGGAAGTTGGTTCCACAAGAGAGGAGCCTGATAACTGAAAGATGTTCCTCCCATTCTGCTCTTGGAAATTCTAGGAACCACAAGTAAACCTACAGTCTGAGAGCGAAGTGCTCTGTTAGGAAAATATGGAATAATAAGATCTCGAATATAAGATGGAGCTAGGTTGTTGAGGGCTTTTGTAGGTTAGAAGTAAGATTTTGAATTCAATTCTGATTTTGACAGGGAGCCAATGGAGAGAAACTAAAACTGGAGAGATGTGATCTCTCCCACTAACTCCAGTTAAGACTCTGGCAGCAGCATTTTGGATCAACTTAAGACTTTTTAAAGACGTATTTGGACACCCAGATAACAAACCATTGCAATAGTCTTTTATACCACCAAGATGATTGCAAAGAGTTAACATCTTATAATCAACTGACAAATGGTGCATCTTTCAAGTATCCAACTTGAGATGCTCTAAAACTATTATATTTTTTCAGGCAGAGCTGAATTCCACAACTTGCTGAAATATTTATAGCTATAGCAGAAACCAAGTCGTACCTGAAACTAACTGAGAATATGACACAAACATTGGATGACACCTGGATCACTCTACGCGAGAGGTTCCATAGAAAGCTTGACTCTTACTCAGCATAAAATATATTCACATGGATTTAAAAAAAAAAAACAGCCTAAGACTTTTAAGATGTCACAACACACTGCAACTGTTGCAGAGCGTTCGCCCAAAGACGTATTTGCCAGTCCTGCCTCGCACACAGAATAATAAATTCACAGAGTTGTATTACGAAACTTCAGAAAATAGTTGAGTTCTGCAGCC